CTGCAAGATGTCATGCATCACGATCATTGTCACTTTACAGGCAAGTATCGCGGTGCGGCGCATCCCGGTTGCAATTTGAATTATAAAAACTCACATACTATTCCCATAGTTTTTCACAACCTGTCTGGCTACGATTCACACTTTCTGATTAAGGCTTTAGCTACTTCCTTCGAAGGTTCCGTAAATCTTTTACCGGTCAACAAAGAAAGATATATATCGTTTACAAAGAACATTAAAGATACAATTATAAATTTTCGATTCATCGATTCATTCAGATTTATGGCGAGCAGCATTGAAAAATTATCCTCCTATCTTAATGATTCTGAGAAAATAATTACACGTAAACATTGTGACAATACGGAGAAATTTAAACTTGATTCATCGATTCATTCAGATTTATGGCGAACAGCATTGAAAAATTATCCTCCTATCTTAATGATTCTGAGAAAATAATTACACGTAAACATTGTGACAATACGGAGAAATTTAAACTGTTAACGAGGAAAGGTGTATTTCCATACGACTATGTTGATTGTTGGGAAAAACTCGAAGAGACGCAATTACCATCGAAAGAAATTTTTTTTTCGAAATTGAATAACGAGGAAATTTCTGAGAGTGACTATGCGCATGCGTCTAATGTTTGGCGTACGTTTAATATTAAAACTTTGGGTGAATATTCCGATTTGTATCTAAAAACCGATGTTTTACTTAAAATTACCATCGAAAGAAAATTTTTGTTCGAAATTGATTAACGAGAAAATTTCTGAGAGTGATTATGCGCATGCGTCTAATGTTTGGCGTACGTTTAATATTAAAACTTTGGGTGAATATTCCGATTTGTATCTAAAAACCGATGTTTTACTTTTGGCTGATATTTTCGAAAATTTTAGACGCAACTGCTTCTCTACGTATAAGTTAGATCCTTTGCATTATTATACCGCACCCGGACTTGCTTTCGATGCTATGCTCAAGTGTACGGGCGTTGAAATGGAACTCCTCGATGATGTAGAAATGTTATTGTTTGTCGAGCGAGGTATCCGTGGCGGCATAGCCCAATGTTCTAACAGATACGCCAAGGCTAACAATAGATATATGGGCGCGGATTTCGATCCAACCAAAGAACTACGGGCGTTGAAATTGAACTCCTCGATGATGTAGAAATGTTATTGTTTGTCGAGCGAGGTATCCGTGGCGGCATAGCCCAATGTTCTAACAGATACGCCAAGGCTAACAATAGATATATGGGCGCGGATTTCGATCCAACCAAAGAAGAATCATACCTCATGTACTATGATGTCAATAACTTGTACGGTGCAGCTATGAGTCACTTCCTACCGTTAAACTCGTTCGAATGGGAACAAAATATCGAACAACTGGATATTTGTAAGATTCCCAATAATTCCACTATAGGATATACATATACTTGAAGTAGATTTAGAGTGCCCCGCGGAGCGTCCATATATGGGCGCGGATTTCGATCCAACCGAAGAAGAATGATACCTCATGTACTATCATGTCAATAACTTGTACGGTGCAGCTATGAGTCACTTCCTGCCGTTAAACCCGTTCGAATGGGAACAAAATATCGAACAACTGGATATTTGTAAGATTCCCAATAATTCTACTATAGGGTACATACTTGAAGTAGATTTAGAGTGCCCCGCGGAGCTTCATGAAGTTTACAAAGACTTACCACTATGCCCCGAGCATTTTGTACCTCCTCTCTCACGATGTAATGGGAGAAAGTTAATGACTACACTTCTACCGAAAAAAAGATACATCATTCATTATGAGAATTTAAAACAATGCTTAAGTTTAGGCATGAAATTAACAAAAATTCATAGAGTTTTAAAGTTTAATCAAGCTCCATGGTTAAAAAAATATATAGATTTAAATACGGAGATGAGGAAAAAATCTAGAAATGATTTCGAGAAAAACTTTTACAAACTAATGAATAATTCGGTTTTTGGTAAAACAATGGAGAACGTTAGGAAGCAAAAAGACATTAGACTCGTTACTAAGTGGGATGGGAGGTATGGAGCGAAAGCTCCCATAACAAAACCAAATTTTCATAGCTGCACCGTCTTTGACGAGAATATGGTTATAATCGAATTGAATCGTACCAGAATTAAATTCAATAAACCTATATACGTAGGATTTTCAATTCTGGACATCTCTAAAACATATATTTATGATTTTCACTATAACTACATCAAGAAGACTTTTGGCGAGCAAGCAAAATTAATGTACACCGACACGGATAGCTTGATATACCACTTTAATGTTCCCAACGTACAAAAACTAATTAAGCGCGATGTACAGAGATTCGACACTTCAGACTATCCGTCGGATAATGTATACGGTATACCATTAAAAAAATATATACTATGACAAAGTATTTTATGTTGTGCATGAATGAAAAAAAAAATTCAATAGTCCACGTACAGGGATCGAACGCGTGTCGTCAGCGTGGGACTGTATGGGTCTTCCAAGATGAGCCAAATCCAACAAAAATTGTTCGCGGAAGAAGCACATCGAAGCAAATGGTTGCCTGTTTCTTCGGCATTACCGGTCACGTGGCGATAGTAGCGTTATTTGTTTGCCAGAAGTCATCGGAGAAATTCGAAAAAAGCAGAATAAGAGGTGAATCATTTTTCCTAACAGCGTGCGCAAAATTCGATTTTGTAAAATCGATTTGTAAAATGATAAAATTGTAAATGATTTGTAAAATTTGAAATTCAACTCAACGTTGGGTCGTATGGCTTAAGCATCCTTCTCTCGTGATGCTATACTACATTCCTGATAACTTTCATCCGAATCCGTGACCCCCAGTTGGTGTACTTCCCTCGTGAGTAGAAAGTAAACACATACTTATATCAAATCAACGAATACACAAGTGTCAAGTCCTAGGCCACTACGTCTCTCATTGTTCCATCATAAGCCAGACCAAAAGTCACGTCACCCAATACGTACCTAATTCGCGACCCCCAGTTGGTGTTGATGAAAATGATGATGATGATGATATGTAACATAATAATTATAAGTTATGCGATAATAAATGCTTTATACAAAATGTGTGTTGTTATTAATCATTTTGTGATCAATTATTTTTTTAAAATATATACTATGACAAAGTATTTTATGTTGTGCATGAATGAAAAAAAAAATTCAATAGTCCACGTACAGGGATCGAACGCGTGTCGTCAGCGTGGTAGTCTGGCACTCTTTCCTTGCGCTACGGCGCTACTTAAAATTTCATCGTAACACAACTAGTACACATGATACGCCACATATTTTAAATCGCTTTTTTCGGCTTATAACTCAACGTTGGGTCGTATGGCTTAAGCATCCTTCTCTCGTGATGCTACACTACATTCCTGATAACTTTCATCCGAATCCGTGACCCCCAGTTGGTGTACTTCCCTCGTGAGTAGAAAGTAAGCACATACTTATATCAAATCAACGAATACACAAGTGTCAAGTCCTAGGCCACTACGTCTCTCATTGTTCCATCATAAGCCAGACCAAAAGTCACGTCACCCAATACGTACCTAATTCGCGCGCGTCAACGAGTGTTAAAAATGGATTCCGAAACTGAAATAAGTGACACTGATTATGACAACACAGTGCCATTGGAAATTATCGAAGCGGCAAAAATTGTGGCTTTAAATTTACTACCGGACGCATCTCGGAGGAAATATACTAAAATGTATAATGTCTTTAAAAAGTGGCGTGCTTCTAAAAAAACCAAATCATTTTCGGAAGATGTTCTTCTGGTTTATTTTGCTGAACTTGCACAAAATCTCGCATCACCAACTCTATGGTCACACTATTCAATGTTATAAGCTACGATGAAAGCGTACGATAATATTGACATTAGCAAATACCACAAATTGATCGCTTACTTGAAGAAAAAAAATGCTGGATACAAATCCAAGAAAGCTAAGGTTTTCACGTCAACTGATATCTCCAAATTCTGCAATGATGCTCCAGATAATCAATGGCTAATAACGAAGGTAAATATAATAAATCCAATGTGCTTATATATAGGTATACACACACATACAACGCAGGACTTACGTTCCTAAACTTTTCTAGGTAGCTCTTGTCATTGGAATTTCCGGTGCGTGTAGACGTGAGGAGTTGTCTGCCATGACAGTAAAGGATATAGAGGATCACAATACGTTCCTTTTTATTCGTGTACCAAAGACAAAAACTAAAATCGAACGATCTTTTACGGTTCTTGGGAAGTTCTACAATATATGTAAAACATACATGCAAAAACGACCAGCTGATACCAAGACCGGTCGATTCTTTTTGTGCTTTAGAAATGGAAAATGTAATCAACAACCAATCGGCATTAATACACTCGGAAGTATACCTAAACAGGTAGCAACATTTTCAAATTTGCCCGATCCTGAACTTTACACTGGTCACAGTTTCCGGCGGACATCTGCGACACTACTTGTTGATGCTGGAGCCGATATTACGACACTTAAACGGCACGGGGGCTGGAAATCTAATGCAATTGCGGAAGGTTATATTGAAAATTCTCTGACGAACAAAAAGAAAATCGGTCAACAGATAATAAGCTCTATTGCTCCGCACTCAGCATCTCTACTGAAGCGATATTTTTAATTTTTTGTATGTTTTTTAATATTTTTATGTTTTTTTAAAAAATATTTCTGTTTTTTATATATTTTTTTTAAATAAATTTTTTATACATATTAAAAATTATTTATTATAAGTTTTGTTTTATTTCAAACTCCTTATAAGTCCGACCTATTAATCCAAATATTATGCGATTCATTGAAACCTAACCATTTAACGAAAAGTCTATTCCCACGTTTCCTCAACACCTTCTCCACAAGGTATATGTCGGGGTACTTGACTCTGGTAAGTTCCTGTTCGTAAAAGCCGCCTTCGATAGGATGATCCTGGTAGTCTTTGAGTTTGTACGTCACCGGATGGGTATTCTCCACTTGGCTTATCATAAAAATTTCCGTTGTCCAGTTAGGTGTACAGCCTTTTTCAAAAATGTGTTTGAATTTGCTTTTTCGAACTTTGTCTCCAACTTTAAATTTTGCAAGTCTAAGTGTGGATTTGCCTCAAAAGCTAATGAAGTCAATTTTGATAAATTACCATCAACTTCCACGGCCCAAACTGAGCCAGCAGCACCAGTGCCGATTTCAAAAGAATCTT